GATTAGATTTCGCAAGTCGCCGGACGTGGAAGAAGCTCGGTAGCAACCGGTGATAACGATATCGAGGAGGTTGCCACGAGTAATCCATATTTGGAAATAAAGCAAGAGATAACTCCCCGTAACCGAAAATTCATTCGAAATACCCAGAAAAATTCGACGCTTACCGCAGGCGTTGCATATCGTACTACCCGCGTCATCTCTTCTCCATAATGGGGTAGCACTCGTTCCACAATTCGCACAGCTCATGGCTCCTACAGGAGCGAATCGAGCCCTGAATCTGGGATTCGATGTTGAGTTTTCGTCATCAGCTGATAACTGATTATTGCCATAATCAGCGGCTGCTGCCGATGGATTCGCGTTGGGTCCAGGCGACGAGTCTTCTGGCTCGGGTGAGGGGACCATCTGGGGTGATGAGGGAGCGGTCGACTCTTGCTTTTGTTGTGGCCTCGATTGGCCATTTCGACTTGATACGGCGTGTACATTGTTAAAGGTAGGGCAGCCCGCGCAGGCGGAAGATCCGCCCGTGCCATCACACCTACCATCTCCAGGACAGGTTCCCTTGTTGTGATGCATGTCTGGGGACGATGCTGCAGGCGATTTGGGTCGGGCAGTGGTCGCCTGCTTCTCCTGCACGGTTTCGACTCCTTTGCTCATCGTGTCTGGAACGGGTCTTGAGGTGCCTCTGGTTTTCTCGTACAGTCCGCAAGCGTTGCAAATAACGTTACCATCACCATTCCGTCTCCACAAGGGAGTCGACTCTGTGCCGCAATTCGAACAGACCAAACGCGAGACTGGGGTTGAGGGAAGATCTGAAGATGGCTTGAGACGGGTTCATTAGCTACTTCTGAGTCTGTAAAACATTTTAAGCAACAAGAGGTACACACTTGTATAGGAGGGCTTTTATGAGACATGCGCCTAGGCAGAGATGGTTGAGTCAAAGATTAGATAATAAGTCCAAAGCCCAATGCTCGAATTCTCATTGGCTGGCCTCTGCCTGCCTCTTCGACCCCGTCGCCTATCGTCCCAAACTCTCCAATCATCCCCCATAAAGGATGAGAAAAATGTTCAAGTTGATTTTAAAGTGATCGGGTCGCTCGATCCCTTATCTATTGCCTCACTCAATCCCCAACTCCGTAGATATCGGACGGCACACTCTCGGTCTCGGTCGACTGTCCTTGGCATCACTAATGCCCCAGCTTATCTGTTGTATGGAAACCTGCGTCCAGCGAAGGGATTCGGAGGTTCCGACTCGGACGATGGGACGGTGATATAATCTGCTAGCGCTAGCATACGTGGCCCTATCGCTCAGTACCCCCAAAGGTCATGACTACGAAAATAGAGATTGATTCGTCCAAAGAGATGTTGCCGCACGGGTTTACGAGACTTGGTGAAGGCATCTGGTTCGTGAAAGCCGAGAATGGTTCACCCAGTGACTTGGACCCCAGGCAAGTCGTTCAATGTTGGAGCCGTTTATTTGGGAATTAATAACACTCGTTAAACAGTCTAATACTCATCTTTGGCTGGAGTGAGTAGCATATGTGTGAACGCTACATCCACCTGACGTTCTACAATTTTAGTGGGCGGTAAACTCGCGCATGTGGCAAAGTACAGTCAAGGTTATCAAAACCTCTTCCCGAACACGGACCAAATCGTCGTATGTTCGACCAATGAAATCTTCTTGGCAAGACAGAAAACGCTGGTATGTGGTTGGCTAGACCATCCCATAGTCTATTAATGAGCGCCCAATCTTTAGGTGGCTAAAATGCAGCCCATGGTCGAATATCTCGTTTCTCTTGGAGTGGTTGGACCCAAGGCACGACCACATCGTATTCTAACCCACACCATGTCCAATGGTACGTCTTGATGATCTTGTTTCTACGACATTCATCCTCATATTTAACAGGTGGCTCCATACGCCTCAACCACTTGGTCGAGCGACTCGCCTTCTTATCACTTCGGCCTCTCGCCACACCACCCCAACCTTCTGCCCTTGTAGTCGATTCCTCCCCGGGCGGCGACAATTTTGCATCTGCTTTTCTGGCTTTCCGAGCAACTATACCACCCCCATTTCTTCGTTATCCAATTATGGGCTTCATTTTCACCGTTCATACTCTCGCCTGGCTCTTGGGCCTGGCTCATTGGAAATTCTTCGAGTTCTTGCGTCTTGTCATGATCAAGCCTAGGTGGCTTCCGTGGATGATATCCTCACGACACGGATACTCCAGTCCCCAACTATTTATCTATTCGAAAACGGATCATACTGTACCGTTCAAAGACATCCAAGAATTCACAGAAAATTCAGAGGCCCGCGGAAATCAGATTCAACGGCTCATATTCGAGGATTCAGATCACGTATCTCATATGCGCAAGCACCCAGAGACATACTGGAATGCAATCAAACAGTGCTGGATCACATCGGTCAACTCTGCAAGAGCAGCAGCTCAACCAAGCACTTGATTCGACTCAAAATTAACGTACTAGTGTTAGAATGCAAAATCATACTTTTATTGGGCGCATAGCGCATAGTTCAAGACATGTATACACATAGCTACGCGATGCTGGCCAGAATAGACGGTTCTTTTAGACTCTTGATGAATAGGAAACTTGGAAACTCGTTGGGCTCTCACCATCAAGGTGACGAGCTAAAAGCTGACATGACGTGATGACCTAGAAAGGACGATGGATCTAGCAATGATTTTGTAAGAGTTTTCAACCAAGCCATGAAGTCGGGTCTTACCTTGGATTGAATGGCTGTATAATTAGGCCTGCTTCACTTCTTCCTCTGTATCGAAGCCTCGGGACATGTGTTGAAAGTGCGGCGTAACTGGGCTCGGTTCCTCAGAAGAGAGAAGAGGGGAAGTGGGTGATAGAGCAGGGAGTAGAGTGGGAACCTGACCACTGGCCCCGCTTCCAGAGTCCATTAGCCCACCTCCAGAACGACCAAAGTCCAATCCTGGTAGAATAGGCGGAGGAATCTTGATTCCTGGACGATAGATTCGACCGTGTGATGGTTTATTGAAAGATTGGCCTTTACTTGCTGTCGATGGTATGGGATTAGCGGCACTTTGCGCACTACTAAGACGCTGCATTGGGCTCATGTTGAGGAACGGAGCCGCGTTACCATCTTCAATTCCCATCCATTGTCTATCAGACGATGCCTTTGGTTCCAGGGGCTGTAGACCACTCTCAAACGTCGTAGCGGCATTCATCGATCCCATGAAGCGATCTTGAGCAAGGACTGCAGCCTGCAGAAGACGAAGTGCTTGCTCAGGCGTGGTGTAAGGGAGCTGTAGTTGTGGTGGTTGCAATTGGGAGAGGTCTTGAAGATGGAGAGGTTGAGAGGTTGAGAAACCACTGGCAGTGATAGCGCCTGGAGCAAATTTGTGAACACCGGCATTAATTCCTGGAACCGCGGACATTTCATCGGTGCCGGGAGCAACACGAGAAATTGCTTCCACGGACGAGGGGAAGATGGAAGAGCGAAGAGTATCAACTAGATGGGCATAGGATGGACCACTCCCTACTTGGCGTTGTGCCGTCCTATTGAGATCCCCGAGGCCATGTTCCTTGTTAAATCGAGGTGGTTGGAAAGAACCAGCTTCCCGTTGCTCATTGCCCGTCGAGGATATAATCTTGAGCGAGTCAACGAGACGACTGAAGTCGTCAAGTTGAATGTTGTGATGCTGATAGACACCTAGCGCAGGCTGAGGCATTCCATGATCGGATTGAGCTCCTGGAAGAGGGCCAGCTAATTGTGGCGGCGATAGATCGATTTGAGAAGGAATATTGGATGGCATCAAGGAGGTAGGCCCCGATGCCTGTATTTTCCGTTAATAAAATACAATTATGACACAAATATGACATACCGTAGTGTTTCCAGTGCCTATAAGCTGAACTGTGAGCTTCTCTGACCACCCGAGAACGGTGGACCCGTGGAGACGCTCAATTATATCTTCTG